GTGTGTGTGTGTGTGTGTGTGTAAAAAGCAGAGGTGAAGTCTGTTTTATTTTTTTAATTTTTTTAAAACCAGTGCCTCACATGTGCAAGGCTAGCACCCCACCGCTGAGCCACAACCCCAGCCCGTGAATTCTGTTTTTGATGAAGGAGTTCCTTCTGCATTTCTACCAGTACCTAACTAATAAACAAATAGAAGATAGGTCCCTCAACAATTCCTGTCTAGCTACATCCTGTCCATAAACATGTTAATGAAATTTTCAGATGATACTAACAGAAGACATGCTGCAAACAGGAAAGCCAAAGAAATTATATAAAACATTAGCAATATGGCAAAGAGAATGACACTCAACTTGGAAAAATTTCAAGAGGTATCTGGGGGAAAGTAATTGGAAAGAAATTTTTTCATGCAGAGGGCAACACCTGGAAAACAGTAATGGCTGTAAGAGGCCCAGGGGTGACACTAAACAGCAAATTAGCTACATGTCTGCTGTATAATATTTCAAGAAAAATATGACACTGGTCTCTTGTCATAAAGCAGGGAGATAATGGCTCTTTCTGTTTGGCCCTAGTGACAGATAGCACCTGGGATGCTGTTTTTAGTTTTGGACACTTCATTAGCAGAAAATCACTGATTAGCATTTGGGAATTTGGAGGCAAGAAACAAGAACAATTAAAAGCATTTATTTAACGTGACTCACCCATTCAAAACTGATGGTGCAGAGGAAAAAAGGAATAACGAAGCTCTGTACTTTGTGTTGCTGTGAAATAAAAAATCTCTTCAGTTTCAGCAAAGAACCACTGATTGTTGAAGCTGGGAGGGACTTTGGTGATGAATTTTAATGACCTTTTTATGTTCCTAGGCAGAGCTAAAATTTTGTTATTTGGGCAGTTTGCTCTTGGGCTGCATTGTACAGGGATTTAGAAAAGCTCTTCTTAAAATATAGATCTAGTAATATTATTGACCCACTTAAAAATCTTCAATGATTTCTCATGACATTTTGAATAAATCTAGCTTCTTATTAAAAGCCCACAAAGTTCTACAGGAACTGGGTCTCACCTTTAGCTTTTGTAACTCTCCACCGAGCTCACCAATCTTCAGCCCCACCACTCTATAGAATCCTTCAAGCTTCTTCCAGCCTTGGTTTTTGCAACTGCTCTTTATTCCTCTAGTTCCTTGTGTTGTTGATTCCTTCTCACCTTTCTTCCTTTTGTGACCATCTTATCTGAAGTCTCTATCCTCAGCTCATCATCCTATTTATAGCATTATCACAATCTGTAATTATCTTTATTTACTTACTTCTTTATTACCTTTCCTCTTATTAGGTTATAAGATCCAGGAGAGCAAAGACCTTTTCTGTGTCACTCATTCCTATGATTCCAGTGCTTAGCATGTAGTAATAGCTAACACACTGAGTTCTTACTATATTCCTGACGCTATTCAGTGTTTTACATATATTTAATCCTCACAGAAATCCTATGAGATAGAACAATCTTTTCCACCTTACATCAACTATATGGGTAAAGTGAAGTGCAAAGACGCTAAATTTAACTAGCCCAAGGATATATAGCAAGTAAGTGGCAGAGCCAGGATTTAATCTTGGCAGTTCAAGTTGCCCAGGTTATGGAGGACGGGCAATGGATCAATTACTTGAATAGTTGTGTGTTGTCTTTTCCCCTTTGAGAAATTCTAGTAAAGAAGAATTTACCTCCATATCTGAGAATGTGTGATCTTAAGTCATTCCTTTTGGGGATAATCAGGAAAAGAAGAAAATTTAAGGAGAGTAATAGGAATAAAAACACGAGTTAGAACATATGGTAAGTCAAATTTTGAGTTTTTTGTGATATAATCTTGGGAGAGGCAAAAAAAAAAAAAGCTAAGAGGATCTATTAGGATACAAAGAATTTGGCTGTTGTTAGAGGTGTTGAGGACACATGCCTTGGTATGAACTTATTTATCAAGGGTCAAAATATGACATATCTACAACTCTGTATTTTGAAAAGAGGTTTGAGAAATACCTGTCTAATTAGGCAACAGACTTAAATGTGTCTAAGAGATTTTTTTCAGGGTGGGGGATTGGGGATTGAATCCAGAGTCTTGAGTATGCTAAGCATGTGCTCTACCACTGAGTTACAGTATCAGCCTCTCCAAAGTCTTCCTTATTGAGTATCCAAGTGACTGTGTCTGTGAATCTATGGAACCAAGGATATGGGAGTCAGTGACAACTCTGTATTATAAAGTCTGAAACATCTATTTGGATAAAGGAGTCAACAGGTATACCATCTTAGTTTGCATGTTATCTGCAGCCAAACAAATCAAATTTCCAAGTACCTTGTCAAAACTGAAAGGTTTTTTTTTTTTAGGAAGTAAAGGATGATAAATTGAAATTATCTGGACATACCACTATTAGTCATGTAGGCAAATGCTAACATTAACTGCCTTTGCTTTTTTATTAGATAAAATGAAAATGTATCTGTAAAGGACATTGTTAGTTCACTCATAGTGACTTTGATTTTTCAAGCCTATGTTTCCTGATTCCACTCTTGTTTTGTTCTTTCCTTTTTTCCCAAGGCAGAGAGGATTTTTTTTTTTTTAACATGATGCCAATGAATTGAACCCAGTGCCACAGGCATTTCAGGCATGCTAGGCAAGCGCTCTACCCCTGAGTCACGACCCCAGTCCTGCAGAGAGGATCTTTATGAAACATAAATCCAGCTAGTTAATCCTCTGTTTAAGCCCTATCAAAGGTTTTCTATTGCAGGGATGAAGTGGGAACCTCTTAACATGGCTTATTAAAGTCCTTCTCAAGCTGCTTCCTTCAGTCTTTTGCTTCATTACTGTTTCTCAATGGTAGTAAGTGGCAGAGCTGGCTGCCCCCAGAGCCAAATATTCTTAACTACTTCCTTGCATTTTCCCAGCAGTCAGTCATCTTGAATTTCTTTTTGCATCTCCCATAAGTCACTCAGTTTTGTCATTGGGTGTCACTACAGGATGCTGTCTCTGCCTGGAATTTTCTCTGCTCAGTCTCCTGGCTTAGAAAATACCTCCGCATTTGTCCTGCAGACCTCAGCTTTGAAGTTTCTCCAAGAAGGTTCCATGGTCCTCCAAGTCTGGGTCAGAAGCCCCTGCTGTTAATGTTCCCAAAGGTCCTTCACCTTCTGATATTTACTTCATCTGTTATACAGGTGGCCTCTGACTCACAATGGTTCAACTTACTTTCTTTGACCTTAGGATAGTGAGAAAGCGATACGTCTAGTGGAAACTGGACTTTGAAGGCCCTTGCTTGCTGGAGTATATGGGTATTTTGGCTGTGGGGCACAGCACCATACTCTTCCCACCCTCTTCACAGACCTGGAACCAAACTGTTCGCCTTCAGGCAGTTTCCCTGGGTCACGGAGAGTTCGGGAACTTCCTCTGTAGGTCTTGGGCTGGGCAGCAGTCCTGAATGTTGTCTTCCTCTGCCATAACGTTCGCCGGCTAGAACCCAGGACCTGAGCAGACAGAGCCCTGTGACAGGATGGTGGTCTCCAGGCCGCAGCCCTGAGGGGAGGACCAGCAGGGCATCGGCAGCGGCCTTCGGAGGAGGAAGGAGAACTGAAGACTGACCTGGGGGTGGGGGGCGGGGAGAGAAAGCTGCTCACCAGACAACTGGGACCCAGAGGGCATCTTTACCCTGTTCTCCAGGCCCTGGGCTGGGTGGGTAGAGGACGCTGCAGGCAGCGAGCAGCCATCCTTGTGAATCCCGAGTTCCCAGGGACCCGGAGCAGCAGGTGGTAGCTGAGAACGCAGGTGAGTAGCACCCTACTCGAGGAGTCTTAGAGGACTAATCCGCAAGGACCAACCTCAGAAAATAAGCAGTCTGCTAGTTAAGTGGCTGGGGACGAAGAGCGCAGGATTTGGGATGTGGCTAAGTATCAAATTTATACTGGCCCTTGGGGGAGCTCGAGGGAAATACTGATTATCTTTGGACTTGCAGGTGCTGCAACCTGGTGACCCTTTATGGAAATGAGGAAGAGAACGGAGTTGTTATAAAATAACCTTAGAAATGCTGACCTCAAGGGCAATGAATCTCCAAGCTTTTTTTTTTTTTTTTCCTCTGAGCCTGAGCTCAGATTGAGATTCTTGATTGCCCTCATTCTATTCCTTCTTCTCCCTCTCCTCATTGCCCCTCCCCTGGCTGCCTCTTTTCTTCCTCATTCCCCTCGGTCTTTCCATTAACCCAGGAGTTCTGGTGGTCCCTGAACTAGGATGGAAAGAAATAACATTTAATACTATGTCACTTTAAATAAATAAATAAATTACAGACAGACAGACAGACAGAGAGACAGACACACACACACCCCGGGGAAAGGGTGGGGGAGAGGGATGGGGTCTCACTGGGTTGCCCAAACTAGTGTCGAGTTCCTGGGCTCAGTCGTCTTTCTGCCTCAGCCTCCTGGAGCTCCAGCAAATTTCTGGATGAGGAAAAGACTGAAGGTCTGAGGTCTCTCAAGACCAGTTTTGGTTTCTCTGTTCTCTAGAAGTGACTTTCTAGCAAACCTGGATTCTCAACCTCCAACTCTGCCCATATTGGCAAATGCCACAAAGAAAAACGTGGTAGTTGATGTGGGTATTACCCTCCACATTTTTACTCCTCACTTGGTGTACTCAAAGTTCTTTTCTTTAGCTAGCCTTTGTTGCCTGAGTAGTCATAGATTCTAGAAAATTCTACTCTACTTTTCTGAAGTTTTGACTTATCTTTAGTGAAAGAACGAGTCCCGACAAGGCTCGTTGTTGGAGAAGTGCCCATTTATTGAGGAACAGCTCTGCATATTTATAGAGGGGGAGGGGCGGTTTGACAGTTATGACAGTTTAACGGTTTAATGGTTTGACAGTTGGCACTGTTGCTTTCTGATTGGAGGATAAGGATCATGTGAGTCAGCAGGGCTCACCATTGGTCGGCTCTTCTGGGGGATGGGGGAGTTAGTAGTCTGATTGGTGGGTATGGATCATGAGAGTCAGGGGAGCTCACCATTAGGAGGCTCTCTTGGGGAAGGGGAAGTTGGTCTTTGGAGCCCGGGAGACTCCCAACATTTAGAATTCAGAAAATACTTTGAGAAGGAAAATTTTATTTGAGGCTTTCCAAAGCTCCAATTTTGTCACTCAAACCCAGGTAACTGTCAAGTTTTGTTCATTTTTCTGTCCTATAGTAGCACTCCTGTGCTTGCTTCAATTCCAGAACTCAATCACCAGCTTGTGTTCAGAAAGGCAAATTACCCCCAAACACTGTGGACTCTTCCACTAACTCTGGAGGCTTCTCTACTCTCTAGAATTTTGTTCCTTGTAGTTTTAACTGACTTTGCAGATCTTTGAAGTCTTTAAACGTATGATTTTTGCCATCTATCCAGTTTTGGTTGTAAATGATGATGTTTTCCTGCGTCAGACTTCCTCATTGTACATGGAAACATAAATGTTCAGAGATGCCTGTTTTTAGAAAAAGTCTTTTGGAGGGTTGTGTGAGCCCCCTCCACCAACAGAAAGCAGTTAAACAGACAACACCACAGTGTGGTCAAGTGTTATGTTTAGTGGGGATTAAAGACTATGAAAGCCAAGGTTAAAGAAACTAGATCTGGGAAGTTAGGGGGATGCTTTTTAGAGCAGTGTTATTAATATGATAACTTAGAAGTTATCCTGGCCCATACCTCACACTGCGAAATTGTTCTAAGTTGCTTTCCAATTTGTTTTCACATGAATCATTTTATTTGATCTTCACAGTAATTGTGGGCTTTGTTTGTATCCACATTTTACAGATAAGGATAGATCTTCCTTAAAGGGGTAAAGTTGTGTGTTTCAGGTTTTTCAGCCTTAGGTTTTCATTCCACAACCATAATATTTATCTGCTCTACCTTCTTGCCTTATTATTATTTTTTTCATAAATAAGTTTTTGAAAACAAAGTTTATCTTTGGGATTTATTGTTAGGAAAAGTACGGCTGTACTCTCCAGTTGTCTCTTGTGTAAAATAAGTTTAACTCAAGGATTATAAAGGTTTTGGAAAACGTGGAAAAGGAAAAGGAAAGGAAAATAATCATCTTTAATTCAGAATTTTCTTGTTAATTTGTTTTACATAGTTGAACTAATATCTGTATTTATGTCCAATTTGGGTTTTGCTTTTTTAAATTAAACTTTATAATGTAAGCATTTTCAAAGTTTAATACATTATTCATAAACACAATTTAATGACTATTTAATAGTTTATTGTATAGTAAACCATACCCTAATTCTATTCTACTGAGAGGTGTTATAGTATGGTGGCTAATAACACTGACTCTAAATTATTTGTAAATTATTTGTGTTCTAATCCTGGTTTGAGCATCTCCTACCTGTATGATTTTGAACAATTTAGTTTAGGTACCCCCAATTTCTCCATTTAAAAATTTTATAGTACCCTGTGATGAGAGGATTAAATGAGTCAACATTTTACCTAATAGGAGCTAAATGCTGCTTAATTAAAGGCTATTATTACTGTTCATTTTTCCACTGATAAATGTTTAGCTTTTTTCACTTTATAATTTGATAAAATTTTTAGAAATATCTCTGGTATAGATTTTGTGGGGATTTGGTTACTTACTTAAAATAGATTTCTAGGAATGAAATTGCTGAGTCAAAATATATTTATTAAAGTCCTGAAGCATCTCTCAAAATTGTTTTCCAAATGGGTTGTTAATTTACAATTTACCCTCCCACTTATAGTATGTAGAGTGATTATTGTTCTGTCCTGTGAGTGCTATTGGTAAAGTATAACAAATACAGTGTAGCTTTTCATATATATATATATGATTTATTTTATTTGGGATGTGGCTGTGAAAATATTATATATATATATATATATGATATTAAATTAGAAGATTATGGGCAGGGGGTATAGCTCAGTGGTAGAGCGTGTGCTTAGCATGTGCTTAGCCTGTGCAAGGCCCTGGTTTCAATCCCTAGCACCACAACAAAACAAACAAAACCCAAAAAAACTTCATCAGAGTGGGAATTAAACCATGGCAGTCAAAGTATGCACTCTTTACCACTACTCAATTGTGGAAATGGTAAGCTGTTAGTTATGGTGCAGACTTATTGAATTTAATTTTTTTGGTACTGTGGATTAGATCCAGGGGTGCTCTACCACAGAGCTATATTCCCAGCCCTTTTTTAAAAAAAAATTTTAAATTGTCAATGGACCGTTTCATTTTTATTTATTTATATTTGGTGATGAGAATTGAATCCAGTGCTAGGCAGGTGCTTATACATGTTAGGCAAGTGCTCTACCACTGAGCTATAACCCCAGCCCCCTTTTTACTTTTATTTTTGAAACAGGGTCTTGTTGAGTTGCTGAGGCTAGCTTTGAATTGGTGATCTTCCTGCCTCAGCCTTCCTAGTTGCTGGGATTATAGGTTTGTGTTATCACACCCTGCTTCAATATAATTTAAAAAATTCTACTGATTGACTAGACAATACTGTGGTATTCACCCGAGATGAATATTTTGAGGAAGGGGTATTCTTGCCTTAAGTAGTTTTTGCCAGGAGGTGAAAACTGAGGAGGAAACATGATCCTGGTTTGGAGTTTATGGTGTTAGGTTAGGCGTGTCAATCAGCACTGGACCCGGACAAGCCTTTGCCCAGGCATTTGCACAGGGATTTAGGCTGGTGGAAAGTCACAAAAGTAACCAGGGTTTGGACTAAAAGAGACATTTATGCTTTTATTTGTAGGTCTTGCTCTGTACATATTTTCTTTTCCTTTCACTCTCCTATAATTGTCTATAATCTGAGATTGAAGTTTTGAAAAATTATAATTGTTGTACTGTATTAAGTTGTAATATTGTTTTCTTCAATGATTTTTCAGTAACTTTCCTGTGGCTACATGCTATTTAAAATTGTTTTTAAGATTTTTCGGAAATCATACTTTTCTAGTGACTGTGTTTTCTTTTACAACTGACAAAGTTGTTTTTCACTTGAGCCTTCCTAGTTGCTGGGATTATAGGTTTGTGTTATCATACCCTGCTTCAATATAATTAAAAAAATTCTACTCACTGACTAGACAATACTGCTTAACTGACTGTCCTCTCCATTTTTATAGGAAGTACAAGATGTTTTTATCCCCTTCCCTAAGACTTATTCTAGGACTGGGTATACAGTCTTTTCAGACAAATTTAAAAATGTATTTTAAGCCATGACTCATACAGGTTTCAAATTCTTATTTTTATATGACAAATGCAAAGTATTTTAAATTTTATTTCAATGTGCCTTATTCATCTTTCAAGATGCAGTTCAAGTCCCATTCCCATGATAAAAGGGGTAGTTAAATACATATGTTGAAATAATATTTTGGATATATTGGGTTAAATAAGATGCAGTTAAATAAAAAAAAAATGCAGTTCAAGTCCCATTCCCTGACCGTTCTAGCCTGTCTAATATTTTTCAGTCCTAACTCAGAGCATTTGCTATATGATCATGACAGCTTTGTGAAATAGCTTATAGAGGTGGCTTTTTTCTTTTTGTTATTTACCTTATATGTTACTATTTTATTTTATATTTTATTCATCTTTAGATTTAATGGCAGTTCTCAAATAGGTATTTGTTTAGTTGTGGGGCTGGGGTAGTTAAATACATATTAGAACGTACAGGAAAAGAGAGTCACGTGTACCTTGGAAAAGAATAGAACTTGCACATACCTGTAATCCCAGTAGCTTTGGGGGCTGAGACAGGAGGATTGTGAGTTCAAAGTCAGCCTCAGCAACGTCAAGGGCACTTAGCAATGGCAAGGCACTTAGCAACTCAGTCAGCCCCTGTCTCTAAATAAAATATAAAATAGGCCTGGGGATATGGCTCAGTGGTTGAGTCCCCCTGGATTCAATCCCTGTTAAGTTCTAAAGCATAGAACTTTTGGCCCTTTGCAAAGTAAAGATTACCACCTGGGTGGGGATAGAATGGGAGAGGTGACAATGGAGAGAGAATTACTGCTTGAACAAAAGTTGAAGGGGGAGAGAGCCCGAAAAATATATACCAGAAATTTCAGAGGTGGGTAACATTTAGGTTTATCAAAAGAGGTTTGAGAAGGTTTGCTGTAGATCTGTACTCTAGAGTAGGCAGCCACCAGCCAAGTAGGGATTTTAAACTCTTGAAATGTGACTAGAGTGAATTGAGATGTGCAAATATACACTGGGTTTCAAATTTATATGGAGAAAGAATGTAAAATATAAAATATCTCAATTACTTTTTAAAAAAATATTTTGTTTTAGTTGTAGTTGGACACAATACCTTTATTTGATTTTTATGTGGTGCTGAGGATTGAACCCTGCGCCCTGCATGCACTAGGCAAGCACTGTACCTATGAGCCACACCCCTAGCCCCTCAATTACTTTTTATGTTAATTACATGTTGAAATAATATTTTGGATATATTGGGTTAAATTAAAATATATTACTAAAATTAATCATATCCATTCTTTTTACCTTTTTTGATGTGACTACTAGATAGAATTTTAAATTACCTGTGGTTCTTATTTGTGGTTCTCATATCTTTGTTGGTTAGTACTGCTCTAGAATTTGAGTTCCCTGAGGGTCTCATTCATTTCTCTAATACCGAGTATGGGGCTAAACACTCCATGAATGCTCATTTAATCATATGTCTTCCCCTCCAATTAGATTACAAGTTCCCAATTTCTTGGGACTTCATTTTAATGTTTTGAGTGTCTCCCCCTAGGCTTCATAGAGTGACAAACTCATAATTAGAACATATTTATTAGATGAATGAATAAAAGAAGAATGCTTCTCATGGAAATTTCCATCTAACTTCCTAACTGTTTAATTCTTCGTTATTATCCAGTTTCCAGCTAGTTTTCCAACATTTCCAGTGTGATATGCCTGGATACTTGCCTCTTTCCTTTCTTTCCATCTCCTTTCTCTTTTCTCTTTCTCTAAACTTTTATTTCTTGGACACCTTCAAATCAATGTGATATGCAGGCCCTGACAACCTTTTATTTATTATTTCAAAAGCCATTTTGTCAGCCTCCTCTGACTTCTTACACTTTGTTCATCCTTATAAATTTCACTGAAGGGGAGTGGAGCTTGCCAAGGGCTGAGTAGAAGAATCTAGATTTCCTCTCTTTACTTTGACACCTGCACAGG